GTCTCCCTTTCTCGCACTGTTAGCGGAATCGTGTCTTTGAAGTGAGTTTCGATTTCGAAAAACTGTTTTTTCATTCGTTTCTTTCATTTAGAACTTTGAAACCCATTTCTCTCGCGAAATGGCATTCCTTGAAAATGACGCGCCGACGCAAATCCGGAACTCTTCAGATCGACGACACGTAAGTCTGCTTTCGCTCCACTTTCGCTCTCAACCTCTCTCTTCCTCTCTATAGTGACGTCATTGAAGGCCAATCAACGGTAAGTTTGACGACTCTCTTCCCTCTCACTCTCTTCCTCTCGCCTTAGGGCTCACTTTCTGAACTCAATCTGGAGGCGCCTCTCTTCGTGGGAGGCGTCGACAGCACTCAAGCGGTGAACAAAAATGCCGGAATCACGAGCGGATTGAACGGCGCGATTCAACGGCTTATTATTAATGGACACGTTTGGCAGGATTTGTTTCGTCGCGCTCTTCTTCAGCACAATGTGGACGAGTATTCCGGTCCTCCCTGTGCTCCACAGTCTCCCTGTCTTAACAATGGCCTTTGTCTCGCACGACGTCTGTCTTTCAACGTCTCTCTCTTTATTCAAAACTAATTCTTTGTTTGTTTTCAGTCAACGAATACTCGTGTGAATGCAGTCCACAATTCACGGGCGAAAAGTGCCAAAAAAGTTAGTCTCTCTCTCACGCACTCTCCCCTTCACTCTCGCACTCTCTCTCTCTCTTTCAGACATTTCGCGCGCCGTGGCTTTCAAAGGAAACACTTTTCTCTTGTTTTCAAACAAAAAGTATTTTTATTTTCATTTTATTTCGAATTAATGTTGATTTTGTCCGAAAGAATGGAAAACGAGAATCCGTGTGAACTGCGTCTGCGCACAACCGCCTCTCACGGCATTGTCTTCTTCTCGAGCACCGGCCGACCAAATGGCGATTATCTGTCGCTCGCGCTCTCAAACGGTTCTCTGGAATTGAGTTTCAATTTGGGAAAAGAGAAGTCTCTTTCGGCGAGAAGTGAATTCGCGGTAAACGACGGCTTCTTCCACTCGGTTCTCATTCACCGCAACCAACGGCTGGCGTCTCTCCGAGTGGACGACT